GCATACAAGTTGAACAGATAGGGTGAAAGGATGCACCCTTGTCTGACCTCTTTGCCAATTAGGAAACATTCTGTTTCTCTGTGTTCTGTTCTGACAGTAGCCTCTTGTCCTGAGTACAGATTCCTCAACAGGACTATCAGATGTGCTGGCTCTCCTGTGTCTTTAAGGGCGTTCCACAGCCTTTCATAGTCTATGCCAGGGGTAGGCAACCTTTCCCCTTTAAGGGACGAGGGACTTCAGCTCCCAGAATCCCAGGTGCTGTTGGCCAACATGGGACTATTGGCCAACATGGCTGAGGCTTTTGGGAACTGAAGTCCCTTGGCCCTTAAAGGGGAAAGGTTGCCTACCCCTGGTCTATGCAGTCAAAGGCTTTGCTAGAAAGCAAATGCTGATTTTCCTTTGGAATTGGTGTGCTCCATTAGCCATTGTATATTTGCAGTGTGATCCCTAGTGCCTTTTTCTTTCCTGAATCCTACTTGGATCTCTGGGATCTCTCTTTCCATGTATAGTTGGAGTCTATGTTGCAGATTTTTGAGCATGATTTCGCTTGCGTGGGAGATCAGTGCTAAGGTAAAGGTAAAGGTATTCCCTGTTGACAAGGTTGTGTCTGACCATAGGGGGCAGTGCTCATCTCTGTTACTAAGCCAAAGAACCAGCATTGTCAGAGACTACTCTGTGATCATGTGGCCAACATGATTGCACAGAACACTGTTTACCTTCCCACCAAAGTGTTATCTATTTATCTACTTGCATTTGCTTGCTTTCGAACTGCTAGGTTGGCAGAAGCTGGGACTAGTGAGAGGAGCTTACCCTATCATGCAGCACCCAGGCCTCGATCTGCCAACCTGCCAGTCTTGTAATCAACAGAGTCAGAGACTTAACCACTTGAGCCACTGCTCTATGCTGCAAAATTTGAGTGTTTTGGGTTGTTGGCTGAGGGCCTTTGCAGACTGCCAGAAATAGTGCAAATTGAGTCCACTTTAAGGGTTATGGTTAGTGCTAGGGAGTCATGGGAATTGTTGTTTGTTTTTTCTGAGACATTGAGCCTTCTCTATCAGAGAGCTCTGGGGCCACAATAAAATACAGTTCCCATGATTCCTTAACCCTAACCCTTATCCTTAAAGTGGACTCAATTTGCACTATTTCTGGCAGTCTGCAAAGGCCCTGAGTTACAGTGGTAGGTTTCAAGTCAAAATCCTAAAAGATACCTTCCTAAAAATAAAAGATGGGGCATGCCATAACTTAGTAGGATTTAGATTTCTGAAGGTTTTTTTAAAGGGAGTTGAAAAGGAGGAACTCCCATGGACTGACTATGCACTATTAGTAACTGACCCAGGTAGTGCCTGTTATGATTCAGCTAGTACAATAATATTGTTCTTAAAATTGAAACTATGAGTGTCTACAGATAAATAGGTTTGGGTCAGGTTATTTGAAGAACCGTATCTCCCTTTATGAACCCGTTAGAGCTCTAAAATTGTCTGGAGAGGCCCTTCTCTCTGCCCCACCACCTTCTCTGCCTCATTTGGTGAGAACAAGGGAGAAGGCCTTCTCAGTAGTTGCTCCCAGACTTTGGAACTCCCGCCTTCGAGAGGCCCAGATGGCCCTATGCTTTTTATGCTGTGTGGTGCTGTTTTAAAGGTTTGTCAATAGTCTTTTAATGAATTTTAATATTTTTAATGTTTAATGTTTTAACTTCATAAATTGTTTTTTAAACCATACACATACACACACACACACACACACTTTAGATTGTTTATTGTTTTGTATTGCTTTTGTATTTTTTAAATTTGTATTGTTTTAAATATGTTGTTGGTCACCTTGACTTCCACCTTGAGAAAGGTGGGATATAAAATCATCATCATCAGTAGAAATTGCACTGCATTGGAACTATCATCATTTGATGAAATGCTTGTGTACAGCAGCTTCATTGTTTAGATGAGCCTGGCATAGCACTCTTGTAAGACTGATAAACATTTTTGGTACACTATATCCAAGATGTCTCCTGTGCTTTGAGGTCACTGTAGGCAAATCTGTCATCACATGGTAGTAAAATTATCTGTGTAATGCAGCTGAATGTAGACATATTTTCTTTAATTTTTTCACAATTTTGAGAAGTAAACTCATTTTTCTCCAAACTCAGAGTTCTTCCTTCAATTCTTGCCCATTTGTGTTTCTGAATTTTTCATGGGCAACCATTATTTTGAATTAATTAATTTAATTAAATTTAACAAATTGAATTGAATTAATACATTTTCTGCAGTAGTAGTTGTTACTTTCCTTTCTATGCTGGGATGCATCATATGAGGAGGTAGGCTCAAGTCTATGAAAACTCAGGCTACAAACTTCTTTATTTCAATTAGTCTCAAAGGTGCTACAAGAAACATTTTAATATATTATGCTTCTCATTCATAAAACACATGAACCCTATTCAGGTTTCCAGACTGAAGAGCTCCACTCCGTCTGATTTCACTCTACTTCTATGAAGAGCAACAGAGGTTCTCCATGCATCTTCTCCACATAATAGAGGAGTCTGCCTTGCATCCAAAGACTGGAGAAAAGCCAGGATATAAATAAATGAAATAATAAGTAATAATCCTACAGATTATTATGATGTTGTTCATGTGAGAAGAGCAATGACAGAGGGGGCAGGGCTAAATTTGTTGATGTTGTGTGTCTTCAAGTCATTTTTGATTTATGGCGATCTTAAGATGAATCTATCAAGGGGTTTTCTTTGCATGATTTTTCAGAGAAGGTTGCCATTGCCTTCCCCTGAGGCTGAGAGCATATGACTTGCCCAAGGTCACCCAGTGGGTTTCATGACCAAGCCAGGAATTGAACCCTAATCTCCAGAGTCGTAGTCCGACACTGAAACCACTGTGCCACACTGGCTCAGTTATTCCTATGTTAACTAGATTTGAAACATTGAACTAGAGTTCTAGGTTGTGCATTGTTTAGATTAATCCCTTCCCTGAAAAACTGCAACACTTTCTTAAAACGATGGTGGAGGAATCAGCTTCTTTATTTTTGTAGTACAGCTTATAAAGCCATTGTCTAAAGTTGCTTTTCTCTCCCATTTCACCTCATAATTCACTAGTACTGTGGAGGCTGCGAGTCTTTAAAAAGCTGCCTCACAACAGTAGGTGATCTTGATAGCTTCAACATCTAAGCACAACAGGGTGAGTGTAGCAGTTTTATTTCTTAATTTCTTGCTTTTGTAGGTTTGAATCAGCCCCATAGTATGTTAATAAAGAGGAAGAAAGAAGTTCAATTTATACTGGTCATTAAGGATCCCTTGGCGCTTATCGCAAGAGTGAGGTTATTAACCCTGATGTTCTTCTGGCCAAATTCAACTCTGATGATTACATTCTGCAACCTAAATTACTTTTGTAGTTTCCACTGGAGAGATTGACTTTTACAGTTTCTCCTGAAGAGAATGATTTTTACTTTAGAAACCTCCTGTCTGGTGAAGTGTTTGGGCTCTGCCCCAGAAGTGGGTGCATCTCAGTTGAAATGGCATTGCCCTTGACCACTTGCATCACATCCCATGTATTTGTCAATGGATATCTCATTTGTCTTCTCAACCTAGTTGTGTTACACTGTTATGACTACATTTCATACAAATGGAGAAGTATAGAAAACCTGCCCAGCAGGTTTATATTGAAGTGGAGTTGATCTCTAGCTTGTTCTATTTAAAATATGTTTAAGTGTGTTAAAGAGCTACTGGCTGTTTATTCAGTTAAATTTACACAAACATCTATATTACTAGGTTTTCTGCATAGGTACCATTTAAGGATACTGAAGGACTTCTGAGATCTCAGTGTAATAAAAAGAAAATATCATTCATACTGTTGGAGAAGGAAGCCATCTGAAATATTTTGTTTTTTATTCCATGTTGCTGTAATGCACAAGAACTAAAAAAAAACCTCAAAAAGCATGATAGTTTCTGTTTCTCTGCTCCTCTTTGCAATCCTAATGCCAACACTGCCAAAAAAACAACAACCACCCTTCAGCTAGACTTAGGATGAAGAGAAAAGGGGGCTTAAAAACCTTTGAAAATTTGCTTCACTCAGATATACCTGTATATATTTATTTCATCTTCTGAAAGAAGAGTGTCAGTAGGATTGGGCAGGGAGAGAATTTATAAAAAGATAATGTAAAGGAAAGTATTAAAAAGCAAGTGTTTGACAGTTAAAAACATGGCAGTCAAATGATGAACGGAATTAGTTATGCTAAACTTTGAACAACAACAAAATCCCAAGAGCAAGGAGAAATATGTACTGTACATGCCTTTAGTGTCATTCTTTTGAAATCATGTTGATTTTAGAAAGGGAATCTGTAGTCCTTCCGTCTGCTACTTAGTAAGTATTTTATTATTTGTGTTCACCACTTAAGCTGTGATAGGTTTTTCTGTTGTCTCCCACATACAGTCTGGGTTGCTATTTGTTGCATTGCAATGTAAGGAATGGACAGTTCTCACCACCATTACTGTAGGCTTTTAGTTATGCATGGCTGATTGTATTACTTGACAACTACTATCCTGGATATAGAGACTTTCATGTGGAAGTTATGCTAAAATGGCCAAACGAAATAATTCACAAAGTTACCGTATATACTTGTGTAAAAGCCAATGCTGTATATAAGTCGAAGGCAGGTTTGGGGGCCAAAATCAGGGATTTTGAGATGACCCCTGGATACGTCAAGGGTATAATGTGGGTCCCAGTGCCCTTCCTTCCCCTCCACAGCCTGGCTGCCCCATGGAGAGGAAGCTTTAGAGGTGAGTGCTCGCTTTTCCTCCTCCTCTGCAGCGTGGCTGTCCCTTTGGAGGACATCCAGACTGGGAAAATGAGAGAGGCAAGCATTTGTCCCCCAGCCTTTCCCTGATCCCAGTGTTCTCCAGCCTTTGAAGGGCATTGGGACTGGGGGAAAAGAGGGAGGCAAGCTTACCCCCCAGCCTTTCCCTGATCCCAGTGTCCTCCAGCCTGCAGAATAGGCTGGAGGGGCCTCTTACCATATTGCTTTATATATAAGTCAACCCAGGTTTTTTGGGTCACTTTTGTGGCATAAATTTCTCCACTTATAGTCGAGTATATACGTAATAACCGCATAAGTGGCCTTTTAAAGAATAGGAGGTGTGAACTAGGCAGGAGAGATGTATTGGGCAATTACAGCAGAATCCAATGTCTTCCTGCCAAGCATGTGTGTTGGATTAGGAAAAGGTTCCTGTGGTACAGATGAAAGCTTTTTCCTAGAATAAATAACAACCTCAGAGGAAGGGCCAATTTGGATCATGATTATAGCAGAGGGTCATCAAAGAGTTAAAGCCTTACTGCCTACCCTGTTCATGATCCTGAACTTCACCAAGTTCCCTTGTGATCACTTTTTTTTTAAAAGTCACTCATCAGTTGCTGATTGCTTGAATGGTATCTAGTTGAGCACATAAAACTAAGAAGCTTCTGTCTGAATTTAGGAGCAACCTTAATCACAGACAGACAGACATATGTACAGGGAGTTTGGTTCCTTTGCTTTTGGCTTTCTTTATCTGAATAACATGTTGATTGCAGCAAAAATTTAAAGTTGTGTGTTGCAGATAGTTTAGAAAATATTTTCTGTTTAGAGAAAGGAAAAATGTGCTCTGTCCAGATATCCAGAGAGGTCTGGGTCCTTTTGTTATCTTCACTATATCAGGGCGCTATTGTATTTATTTTCTGTGCAAAGGATGTAACTTTAGTTCACAGTAATTACATTTCAAGAATTGATTGTAATACTTCATTGAACTAAGACCTAAATTCTACAAGAAGACTTCCTCTCTTACCACTTCCTCTGCATGTCCCTATCTTCCTCAGAGGGCTCTTCAATCCTCTGTAATACATTGAGCAATCTACAGCTGGGAAGAAGAATTCATTCCACCAGTGACATCTGTTCTGCTGACATTAGAACACCAATTGGATGCGACCCATTGTTTTCTCATTCTCACACATACAGTATATACTCGACTTGTATATACCAACACTTGACTTAACATACCTCCTATCAGAACAGTCAGAATGTAGCTCTTCTTCAATCTTGCTTATGTTTGAATAAGAAATTTCACTTGCCTTTACATCAGTTGATTGACCATTTACTTCATCCGTGTTTTTATTTTCTACTGGCATTTCTTTGTTAGGTTCACTTCCGATTACATCAGCTCCTTCTTTTAGACTAGGCTTCCAACAGTTTCTTTTAATTCTTCCAAAACAGAGGAGCCTAGGGGATTTTCTGCAGGAATCATATTAGGTGCTTAGTCCTACTTGATCTCTCTTTTTGTCCTTTTCCTGTCATTTCTGCCATCCTGATTTGTAAGGATATATTCTAAATCACTGTTGTTGTTGTTTAAAAAAAACTTGTCCAATTTGGATCTGAAAGACATTGTACAGTAAATATATAATGAAATGTTAGCCTTCTTGATTACAATGGCAATGTGAGCTATGATCAGCAACCGGAATTTAAAAATCTAAGTGAATACACACATTTCACAGGGTGAAATTGTCCATTCATTTCATAGTAAAAATAGACAGGCCCTGGTAAAAAGCCAAGAAGACATCTGATGAGCAGCATGTTTGCTAACCTTTGTAAAACAATGCAGTCGAAGAGGGCTGTCAGGTTTGCTTTTTGTTTTTTAGAGATGGGGCCATAAGAAATTTATGGTGCTCTCCTTGGCTTTCCACGCTCTGGACCGATGTACTGGCTGATGCCCCCTTATATAGACCCTGGTGATAGCAACTGTTAATCAAGAGGGGTGGTCTCCTGTGGGAAATCAGATCAATAGAGTCCCATATAGGAACCATGAGGGCATCTAGAAAGTCCACTACATTTGATGTCATAGTGGTGGAATAGGAGCAGGTCCTCAGATTGGTGGCAGAGATAGAGATAATTGGAAGGCCTCACATTTGGTGTCAGTGACAGAATTTATGGAGGTCCACACATTTGGTGGTAGCTGTTGGGATAAATGGAAATTCCTATAGCCTCCTTTATCAATGTTAGCATCTTTAAAACTTAGTTAATGATTAAAATATTTCACTTAATTTTCTGACCTCAGGATTCCTGTTGATTCTTCTGATTGCTTGTGTGCTTGGACTGAACATTCCTGTATAACATTAATTTAAGTGATATAAAAATGAAAAATATCTCAATTAGCAGTGACACCACAAAAATGTTATATTGTTAATTGAGTGAAGCTTGTAATTCTGTTGTGCTTTGATAATAGGTAATAAAAATGTTGCTTAATTAATGCCAGTGTGAGTTCTTTTTGAAGCTTTAGGTTCTACAGAACTGAGAAAAATGAGTAAATCAAAGAAATGAACCAGAATGCTTCTCAGTGCTTTCAATTTAAGGCTGTCACTTCCATTCAAAGTCATGATTTATATTCCTCAATATTGATTAGGTGGGATGCATCTGAATACCATGTTAAGAAAAAAAATGCAATTAAACCTCACAGCAAGTTAATGCATCATAGCCTGTGGTCTGGCTTCCTAAATTATCTTGTATCTTAAAGTAGATGTGGAGTTGGTTCACTAAACCATAATATAAGACAGCCTTCCCAAATCTTGGTGCAGTACAGATGTGTGGAATTGCAGTGCCAGTCATTTCCAGCCAGAATGGCTATTGTCATCCAACACATCTGGAGAGCGTTGGGTTGACAATATGGTCAGCTACATATGTTTAAAGCTTGAGAAGTGAGCAGGCACAATTCCCCATTGTCATTAAGGAACTGTCCAGTGGCCTGTGGGGAAAAAAGATTGTGTTTCTGATAGCGACTGCGGTGATAATAGTGTGGCTTAGAAAATTAGGAAAGCAGAAGTGATACTGGAGATTAAAGTTTGCTTCCTAGTTCACTAGTTCACACCCAATAA